TATATATTTAATCTCTTTTCCTTTGACTTAAACTTAACGAGTACTGTTATGAATCCTACGCTACGTAATGTACGATTGCAATACGAAATTACTTGTAAGTTTGTAGAATGTATAGCCGTTCTCCGAGAAAGGCGTGCTGCTTCGTACTTGCTCATGACCGTTACTGCCGCTCCATTATCTACTTCGAACTTAACTTTTTTTTCGTTTGTCCGTAGAATTCCTGTTCGTGGATTTCTTACCCGCTTTCAAATATTCAATACTGGCCTGAGTTGTATTCGCTCCGTCCGCCTTCATTTGCTCCGAGCTTTTCTCGGATAATTCCATTGTGACTGCGACGCGCACTGCTTCATCGAAGGTTAAATCCTTCCTCTCCAAAAGACGTGCTTGAGTCTTCTTGTTTATTAGTCCGAATACTAATTGATTCCTGAGAGCTATCTTAAGATACTCGCCGAAATTACAGTGGATGCTCTGCTTGTGTAACGCCGCTACGAACTGCTGCACCGATTCTCCATCCGCCTGCTTGTGTTGATGAAATTTGTAGTTTTCCGCGATTTCCAACGGCGCCGGTGCGTAGAACTCCTCCAGTTTTTGCACTAGCGCATCGTAGGTTTGCGTGAACGGGTCTGCGGGGTCAAGTCGGTCGCATAAAATGTCGAATGCGAACGATCCCACATAATGGAGCAAGTATGGCACACGTGCTACATCCTTGATCCCGAAGTTTCGGGACCCGAACACCAAAAAGGCGTCTTGCAGGCGTTGCAACCAACGTCTCCACGTCGTCGTGCCCGGATCGAATGCTTCGATGGCGAACGACCCTAAAAACGTCGGTTTCGTCTCTGGATTTGTTGGTGGATTTACCAACGCCATTTTCGTGTACAACACCCGGACAGGGAAGGAATCTCTCCCGGCGTGTAATGGCTTCTGAAGTCAGTGGCTGTACTTGCCACGTGTACGTTAAGTCCCGCGCCGAGCACGTGCAATGTCGGCTCCACGCAATACCACTCGCGGTACCTCTCACAACGATCCCATCCTCGTCGCCAAGTTGTTATGTAAAAGTACAGGAATCGGTGTGTAGGGAGGCTAGGACTCAGTGAGGGGCCACGTTCACTACTACGACCAGTTTTATTCGAGAGACTACACGTCCTTGTTCTATAGATCGGCAGGGAATGTCCTGCTCCGATCCGCGGAATCATGCGTACCGTGCTCGGTTCGTAGCGCATGCGCTCCCGCATATATGCGTGTACCATCAGCACGCTCGCATAAGCACACGCACCTATATGCACATATATATTGTAGAATGTTAAACTTAGCGGTGTATTATTGCGCGTGCGGCATAGATCAGCCAATATCGGCGTGACACCTGACTCACGTGCGGCATCGATCAGCCAATATCGGCGTGACACCTGAGTCGCGTGCGTGCGTGAGCAAGGGACAAGGAGAGAAAAGGCGAGAGCTAAGGAACGAGACGGAGAGTCGCGAGTAACACGGCGGAAAAAATGGACGATTATACAGATAAAAGCGGACGATATTGTATAGATCACTTCGGGCTATTGATTAAATTTCTACCTATACTTAAAAAGATCAAGTCTTCGCTCCATTTACTTATACATCTAATAACATCCTACATCTTTTTGGGGGCTTGTCCGGAATAGAGCGAGCGTGTGGTACGGAAGGTTTGATTGCTCCGGAAGTGATACGTGGCCGAGAATTATTTGTGATGCCGCGCGATCGAAGTGACTTGACGGTGGTGGAGTTGAAGGAGAGGCTGAAGACACATGGATTGTCCACGGCGGGTTCGAAGGCGGAGCTCATTTCGCGGCTACATGAGGTTGATCCGTCGGTTTCTTGGGCGGAGAATGACGGGTCTGGCGACGTCGAGGATGTTGGAGGTGTTGAGGATGGGGAGCTGGAGAGTCTGTCGCGGCGAGAGTTCGAGCTTTGCAGGCGAGAGAAGGAGCTTGCTGAGCGCGAGCTTGATCTTGCGCGACGCGAGGTTTTGATGATGCGAGAACAGCTGACGAGGTGCAGGAGTCCCGCTGACGATGCGGCGACGGCGACGGCGACGGGAGCGGCGATGAGTTTTGACGATGGAGGAATGTCCCGCGTGCCCCCGAGAGCGAGTTTGACGGCGATAGCCGATTTGCTGGGTGATTTTGATGGTACGTCCAACAATTTCGAAACGTGGGAGAAACAGCTCAGGTTCTTGAAGGGAACGTATCGACTAAGTGATGATTGCGCGAAACTCCTAATCGGGAT